TTTTTTTTTTTTTTTTTTTTTTTTTTTTTTTTTTTTTTTTTTTTTAGAGGAGTGATGTGCATCCCAACAATTAATATATCTATCCCAAAAAATGGGAGACAATAGTTTGCAGGTTTTTCTTGAACACAGACTGCAGTCAATTTATTTAGCGCTGTGTACACTTAAAGAGAGATCAAATATTAATGTAGAACAACTTCAAAGACGCTGGAGAGAAATATTCCATAGAAATTATATTAGACTGCAGAACTCTTTGGAAATACCTTATTTTTACTCTTGTAATTGAAAGCTTTCCATTTCTTGGCTCCAATTAATGGAAAGTCTTACTAAATAAATAATTGCTTCTAGCTTAGGCACAAAAAGCTGGTCATAAATGTCATTTTACAAAAACCTTATACAGAAAATATAAATAAGAAAACAATGGAAATATTATTGCAAGGCATTTCAAACACTCGTCACACAGGTTCTTGCAAGTTTAGCTAAACATACTCCTAGTGTAGGAACATTATTTCCTACTTTAGCAAGGAAAATGAATCAACTACCTCCCTTTGCAAAATACAGCACGAGCTTATGCTTGCCAGAGCAGAAAGATATCCATTTAAGCCTCCGTTTCTGTAGTAACTACTGTAGCAGGGGTCCTAATTTTATTTTCATTTTTTGGAAATGATGGTAATGAAAAAAGGAATCATGAAATGATGGCATATACTATTTTCAGTTACTCTGAATGCATGTGTTAGAGAGATTCCTACAGATATACTAAATGGAGAGGACCATTAGCATATCTTGCTGTTGAACACGGAAATTCTAAATTCCAAGACCTTGCATAAATGGCTTTCAGAAGAATAAGGGCACAGCCACTGGATGAAGTAGAATGTATTTTATTTTAGAGTAATTTGCCAATGCAATTTTGAAGTTTTTATTTGGGAAAACCCCCTACAACCAAGGCAAAGCTACGAGTAGGAGACTCAACTATTCCAATTTCGAGTGCTCTGCGAAGCAGAGTATATTATGAGGCACTGCAGTGCAGAGAATGCCAGGTTTCCTGTGTACTTTTACACCTGTGCATGCATACACATACAAATGCACACAAATATATATATTTTTTGCTGTATTGAAGTACCACTTTAGATAACTACAGCAGTAATTCAGTACATTTTACACTCTGTACAACACACTGCATTTCTATGTCTTAAAAAGACCAGCCCAGGCACACTTGAGTTC